CAAAACAAAAACCTAAAACTAGACCGGCCCACCATATAAACATGCAAATATCCGAATAACTCCCCCACACTTAAAATGAGGCAATGCCCTCATTGCTTCGACACAAAACAGGAAGTCAAATAATGGACCTAGCAATTTCATATCATGAACCAAAACTAGCAGCTAACACAAGAACGAAAGACTCAGAAAACAAGACAGAAGAAGAAAACAAACTCAAAAAAAAAGTAAAAAGAGAAAAGGTGTGCAAACCTAAGTAGCATCGAGGGAAATAAACATTCACGTACAAGTCGCTCGTCTATGCTCAGCCCAGAACCACGAAACTCTTCATTCAACTCAATTCTCATGCCCGAGCTCGCAACTAGTACCTGCCAAGAAAAACACAGAACTCCAAAATACCCATTATTCAAAGAATAAAACTAAAAACATAAAAGAAAATCTCTAGGAAAGCAATAAATCACTTGGGTTGCCTCCCAAGAAGCGCTTGTTTAACGTCATTAGCTTGACGAAACTGTGAGGAACTCAGCCAGGGTCCAAGAAGAAGTGACGATCGTGCCATGCCTTTGTATTCTCGAGAAGTGGCAGTGCTGGCTCTAAGGCCAGAAGGCGGGCACTGTGGGCACGAGTGGCTATGTTCTCGATGTAGTGAGTCTGTTCACGAGCAATCCCCAATGTTTGGAACAGAGCCTTCCCCAACCGAGCTCCCTCGTCAACCTCGGCAATCAAAGGCGCATCAATGGAGCAAATCGAAGAAAATACCATCACCTTTGGAAAGTAGTGCAGTGGCCTCGGAGGCGGATGCTCCAACTCGAAGGTGGGAGGAGGGACTTGTGAATCGACCTCCTCCTCTAATGCATCGTACCCGGCTCGTGGGAGATTGTCATCCTCTTCGGCCTCACACATTTGCTGCAGAATTCGAGCCTGAGGGTCAAGCATGAGGTGTGGGTTGCCGACTTGTGCCTCAATCGAATCGAGACGTACAGTGAGGCTCTCTATTTGTGTGCTCAGCCGAGCACATCCGAGCTCAATCTCCTTTTCTTGGTTTGCTCGGGCCATCATCCAATTGAGGATGAGGTTGAGCTTGGCATTGTACTCTGAGGAGTCGTCCTGGAGCTCATTTAGATGCTCGGGCGTGGGATGTGGGTCCACAACCTCGAGCTTGTGGGCCTGGGACTCAATCGAGTCGATGCACCTTGCTAGACTTTCCACTTGCTCGCTCAATAGGGCACATCTGAGCTCCATCTCCTCCTCTTGTTTCGCTCGGGCCATCAATCGATCTAAGATGAGATCGAGTTTGGCATTGTAGGCGGCCTCTTCTTCTCGAGCTGATTTGGACTCCATGATATCAAGAATCTGGTCGAGCTTCTCGTTAAACTCGTGGGACTCATAAGGTTGCTCGACCAGAAAATCGTTCCAGCACCGCTCGGAAGAGTACGGATATGACTGGTAGTAACTCCCGTCGTGATAGCTCGGCTCGTGACCCCAAGACTGGGTGTGCGGTAAGGGAAACACATGGTTGAAGTTCATATTTCCTGCACACCAAAACAAAACAACCACACGTAGCCACGAAGAGGAAAGAAAAAGAAGACAAAGAGAAAAACAAAGATGCACAAAAGAAAGAACAAAAATCCCAAAAACAAAAGACAAAAAGAAACACGGAAAATAAAATCAATACCAAAACCAAATATCCTACTTGCCTTCCCCTGCAACGGCGCCAAATTTGTTGTGTATAAATTGTTATATTACCGAGTACCGAATCGAAGGATTCGTTTCCCGGGTCGATCTCTCGAGGAAGACGATTCGGAATTTAGAATTGGTATTGATAACACAAAAAAAAAGAAAAATAAATCCTAAACACTCTAATCAGATTGGGGAGGAATTAACTATCAACTAAGAAATAGCATAAAAGCATAAATCCTAAAATACCAACTAAATAATAATAAAGAAACTAGGGAATCGGGAATAATTTATTCAAGTTTCGCAACGTAAAGCCAGACAATTGATCGTTCGGTTCGGAATTGACACTCTCGCCTACACGTTTAGCGGTTCACTCCCAATAACTCTTCGTAACAAGGAATTAAACATAGACGAGCAAGTTTGAGCATACAATACCGGCCAAGTATCCAATCCCAATAACTTTTCGTAACAAGGGACAAGACACCGACAAGCATGTATTTCAATCCAAAACCCATAGAGTATTCAGTTACGAAATCATCTATCTCATGCGAGCCTAAGTCTACGACTTCTCCCCTTTCGGTTCTAAAAGTCGCTAGTTCAATTAGAAGGTGTTTAATCAACTAATCATGTAGGATCAATAAACCCTAACTCAACAAATCAATATTCAAGCGCAAAATCAAAGTGTCACTCTTCGATTATATTAATAAATTAACCTAAGTGTCACTCTTAGGTTATATCAAATTATCAAATGTCAAGCAAGAATTCACCAATTCCTAATCAATTCAACTCGCACAAGAACGAACAAATTAACACCCAACAATCACGAATTAAACAAGAGTAATCATCCCCTATCCCTAGCCATAGGAATTAGCCACACAAAATAAATTCAACACAATCAATCATTTCTCCCAATTCAACCATTTTCATGAATTAAACAAGAAGAAAAACTTACAATTAATCTCAATTCAGGTGTTGAATCCAAAATACAAGCTTAATTCCTAAAGTGTAAAGAAAAAGAAAATGAGAAAGAAATGGAGAAGAAGAAGAAGAAGAAGAAGAAGAAGAAGAAGAAGAAGAAGAAGAAGAAGAAGAAGGAGAAGAAGAAGAAGAAGAAGATGGAGAGTGGAGAAGAGGTTTTTCGAGCTAGGGTTCACACCCAATCGCTCCCCATTTCTCTCCCTGTCAAAAATCGCATAGACAGGTTTTTAAAGGTTGAATCGTGACCTCCGCGGCCGCGACTTTTTAACTGCAGAAGGGCTCCGCGGCCGCGGGACACCTCCGCTGCCCGCGGTGAAGAAAACTGGGCAGCTGCGTGCTGCTTTACGTTTCGAGCTCGTTTGGGCTCGTCCGAACTCGGAATTGAGTTCCGTTTTTTGCTATGCGTCACCAACGAACCCATCTATCCAGTTATGCTCTCAAAAACAACTTTTCCTGAAGAGAAAATTCGCCCAAAGCTCCTGACCTACACACCAAAAACGACAAAACACAAAAGAAAGCCGGAAAAACAAACGAAAAACACCTACAGACTCAAGATGAAGGAAAACACATAATAAAACACGAAACAGACTAAAAACTAAAGAAACGACCTAAAATGGGGGAAAAAAAAAGATAGAATAAACACGAAAAACGCAACAAAATTGAGACAAACAAACCTCAACTTTTGGTCAATAAAATTCTGAAAGATAGATACTTTCCAGACTGTTCCATTTTCTCAGCTATCAAAACTCAGAATTGCTCACGGCTTTGGTCTAATTGGTTGGAGGTTCTTCCCACCTTTTCTAAAGGTTATGCTGTGGAAGTTAGGAATGGTGAAACCACAAGAATGATGAAGTGAATTGGGTTCCTTCTCTTTTGCATCTGAAGCCTACTATCTTAGAGATTGCCAAAGATCACATTATCTGGGTGAAGGACCTAATAAATGTCAATGGGATTGCTTGGACAGAATGGCTGATTAAACAATTTTTCAATGAATCAGAGAGTAAGGCCATCCTCAATATATCCACTCTTAAGACTGGCTGCTCTGACGGGAGATACTGGAAATTTCACAATAAGGGAGTATTTTCTATTGCAAGCACATACTCATTCTTGTCTCATCAAAAGCTTTTAAAACTGGACATCCCCTGCTGCAGCTCCTACAACAGCAAAGCACCCCTTTACAGAATTTGGAAAATGAAAATTCCAGGTAAACTTCAACAGTTTCTTTGGAAGTGTATTAATGGTTCTCTACCTGTTTCATCTAACTTGAAGAAAAGAGGTGTGGATATAGACACTACTTGCCAAAGCTGTGGAGCTTGCCCTGAAACTACAGAACACATTCTACTCCATTGCCCCAAAGCTAAGATGGTTTGGGACATCTCCCCAGTCACTTGGACAGACACCCACTCTCATGGACCCTTCAAATATTGGTGGGATCATATCTGCTCCATTGGCTCCTCTGGGATTGACAAAGCCCGCATACAACTCACTACCTACTTACTTTGGTGGCTATGGAAATGCCGCAACCTATGGATCTTTCGGAAAATGACAATCCCAGCTCACAAGTTGGTCCAAATTGCTCATAAGGAATGGCTCGAGTTCTGTCAGTTTTAACTTTCTGCTTGGTTTTGTTTTGTATTTTCTTTTCAGTCAGGTTGTTTGGTTCTAGTTTGTTAGGTCCTGGTTGTTTGGTTCTAGTTTTTTCATTTGGTTTGGTTTGTTTGGGTTGTATTCTCTAGGCCTTATGGCAGTGGAGTTGGGTGTTTGAGATTAGTTTGCTTTCGGTTCTAGGCCGCCTTGGCGTGTCCTCTCATTTTTCTATTCGGGTATGGCTCGTTGTATTATGACAATGTATTTGGTTGAGTTTATACATCTTCTATCGTTTCGCTAAAGAAAAAAAAAAAACTCAACTTTAACTTAATCTTACTATCTTTAATATTATTTATATAATTAAATAATACAAACAAATCATTCTTACACATCACATCAACTTTAATTCATTATTCATTCACTCACATAATTTTAAATACATATCATTTCTAATCATTTATCTCATACTTTTACATTAAATCAATTTTAATCATTTTATTTTAAATATTATTTTAATTCATTCTTAAAATTTCACTAACAATTAACTATATCACCTTTTTCAAATTAATTATGATTAACCAAAATAACTAATTTTGAACAAATTATTTCATAAACAAAGACGTAAATATTACCTTCCTTCAAAAGACGGGGCAAGTTGGAGAACTCATCCGGTCGTCTACTGAACCGCCTAGATTATTTTCCCCAAATCTCATTGTTCCGAATGACTCGTTTTTCCTTCACAATAATCTCACAGATAGAGGCCCAAATCAGAGAAAAATATTTTAAAATAAACGGTTGCCTTAAAGTAAAGAAAATTAAGACGACATTGTTGTAAAAGAAAAGAGCCCATTTTTATTTCCACTCCAAAAAAAGAGAATAATAAAACCTTGCAGCATTGACACACAATTCTTACATCTTACTACCCTTTTGAATATAATTCCATCATTGGTTCTTTCTTGTCCAAGTTTTTAACCTTTCTTCAACCAAGAAAACATAAGAAATGAAAATACTTGTTCTTTGAACTAGTCTCCAAAATAAAGCTCTCATTCTTGTAATCTCTCTCTCCCCCTCTCTCTGCTTAGATTTTCGCTTCATTCTTGTAGTCTCTCTCTATACATCTTTCTAGTTGTACACTCTCTGCACGGGATTTTACTGATTAAATTATTTGTACTCTTAAACACAGGGTGAATTGTCGAACAAATCTTATTGAGTAGCTCCATCCAACACAGATCTTGAGGTTGGCTTGACTTTTTCCTTTCCATTTCTTGTTATTGTCACTCGGGTACAACTTAATTGGCTTATCTGCAGTTGTTCAGTTCATATGCAACAAGATCTCAAATTGTGTGCTTCATATTTTTCATCTGTGCAGGTTTTTGTTTGTCTTCCTCCACATACAGAAATGGATAAGCTGCAATGGGGGAATAGAAAGAGGCTGAGGTGTGTCAAAGTAAAAGACTCTTCTTTGAACGGAAAATCAGATGGCGGCGGCTGTGGAGGTGTTGTGAAGAAGAAAATAACTTCACGAGTGGTGGATAATAATAGCAATAGCAATATTAACGGTAGTAATGTTAATAACATAAGTAAAGATGCGCATTTTCATCATCCACCTGCTCCATCTCCTCATCGACCTAACAGGTGACATGAGATTTAAGACATGAATGAGGCAAAGATTCGATTTTTATTTTTTTTGATATATGTATTGGGGTTCTATGTTTGTTCAAAAGGTTTTTTTCTACAACGGGATTTTGCTTGCTAAATTGCTTGCAAAATTGGAGCAAAATGGGATTATTAGATTTGGTTTCTGCTGAAAATTTTGTGATTCTGAAAATGGTGTTATTCTTTTAGATTAGGTTACTTCGTATGTCCTGTCCATTTTTTTTTTTTTTTAAAGAAAAAAATGCATTTTGTAGATTTTACTTTTTGTAGATGTGTATAGTAAGATTTGGGTACATTACTGGTAAAAAGGAACTCACTGGATAAGTAAAGTTGCGTATGTTCCTGGGGTTTGTTGGGGGTGTTGGTTAGATCCACACAGCCTTTTCATCCCTTGAAAACCTACTTGACAACAGCAATTATAGTAAGGCTTTTTTGGATTTGGAAAATTAATTTTCAAAATACAGGGAGAAAATGTGTAATAATTGTTAGGGTTTTATTTTTGCACTTGAAAATATGGATTATCAAGAAAAACAAGTTTGAAATTATTATTAGATGATAATTAAGAAAGTTGTTTTCAGGGAATTGGGGATGAGTAGATCTATAACGAATGAGTGCCGAAAAGCATCAACATCATCCTTATCACCCGAGAAAGAAGACAGGTATTACACAACCAGAGGATCAGTCGGTTTTGATGATGGTGGAAAATCGTTGTTTTCGAATCCAAAGGAGGAAAATAGGAAAGTTGTTTGGCCCAAATTGCTAGTTTCACTGTCTAGCAAGGAGAAAGAGGAAGACTTTCTGGCCATGAAAGGTTGTAAACCTCCACAGAGGCCCAAGAAGAGGGCCAAACTCATCCAGAGAACCATATTAGTATGTTTCTGAATTTGATTAAAAAAAAGTTTCAATTGATTGATTTAACATTTAACTTTTGGTTCTGTGGATTGATTGATTGATTACTTTTATTGAGATTCTTACAAAGCCTGGTTTGTGGGTTTTTTGCAGTTAGTGAGTCCTGGTGCATGGTTAACAGACTTGTGCCAAGAGAGGTATGAAGTGAGAGAGAAGAAGACTTCTAAGAAGGTAATCAATTTTTGAGTGTAATGCAATTAAAACTACTGCATTTATTTTACAAAAGACCCTTCAGAAAGAAGACCAACTTGTAAAATGGAAACTTCTGTGAAGTGGGTATTCGGAATTTTCAAGGATACTTGTGTGTTTTTGTTGTAATGTAATTATGTCAGCAATTTGTCCCGGATGAACTACTGCAAAATGAGATCTTGGCATAATCATAATTACCAGTTGTCTTTCATAATTACAGGTTCTCCCTTCACATTTGTTCCTATTCTAGAATGGCTCACTTTCTTTGGTGGAGCATTTGTTTAACAACATTTGAAGGGTGTATATTTGAGACCTTGACAAGGTGTCATTTGTTTCAATTATAAGTTGTTCCTTAATATGACTATGAGGAGGGTATTTACTGGTGAAAAATACAAACCTCATTTGATGTGTGTTTGGAACACCTTTTTTTGGGCCAATATTTTTTATTTATTTATTTTTTTTTTAAATCTCATGAGTAGTACTTGCAGTTTTTATACATTCCAATTTACTACAAATTATTTCAAATTAATATAAATGAAAATGTGTTTTGAAACAGAAACCCAGAGGACTGAAGGCCATGGGAAGCATGGAAAGTGATTCAGAATGATGTGTTTTAGCCCCATGAAAATGCAGAGTTTGAGAACGAGAAATTCTTTATGAATTTTTTTAATATGCCGATTGGGTGAGACATTTCGTCCTTTTGGCCCTTTTGCACTCGTTCAATAGAGCTTGGTGATTTCTAGCATAGTCTGTGTTTTTGGCAGCTAAGGCAGTATTGTTCTCTGCTAGCAAAGTTTTTTCTCCAAATCCTCTGTTGTTTTGCATTACTCCCAATTTGTGAGGGATTGTAGCTCCTCAATTGACTACTTTTTGTAAAAAAGAAGAAAAGAAAATCGCGCTTGTTTAAGGAGATTTTCTGGTTTTGGTTGAGCCTGAAAAGCTATGCTCTGCATTGAACTTGTCTGATTGATTTGGTTTGNAAAACATGTAGGCAATCTTTACACATTTATTCCTTCTATTGAGAGAGTTTGATAGGTAGAATTTTGGAGGTTTTGTTAATGTTCCAAGCTGATGAAGAAACAAAGGCCCTTACAACACGAGCAAAAACAAATCAAATTCCTGGACAAGCAAACATGACGCCGTAACGAAATGTTTCACTGGAATCATCAAAGACGAACAATAAAAATAATTCAGCAAATGCTTGCAGTTTGCAGAGAATATTTCCCGCGTGACAAGTTTGAAGATGAAAATCTCAGGTTTGTAAGATTATAATGGAGTGAGGTTAATTGATGAGGCCTTTGAACCCAGTTAAGCCTCCACTTGGGCTTTAATAAGTAGGCCTTTGCGAGATTTGTGGAAGATTTATTCTATAACGATGGAGATTGTCAATATATGGAATGGATTCCTACTTGTGCTCTTTCTCAGTTACGAAGTTTATCAACAAATTTAATTGAAAATAAACAGCTATTTTTACTGAATTAATTGATTTATTGCATTTTTTTTTCATCTAATTTTCTGTTACATTTTTGTACATGAAATTTTTATTACAAACTGAGTGTCGAACTATATGTGAAACTTATGAATTGAATGATAATTTTCAGTTCTTACAACTTAACTAGAAAATAAAATATAGTACAAGAAATACTGATGAGGGAAGAGAATAAAGTCGAGGTGAGAAAATCAATTTTTGCAAGACAAATATCCCTGTAAAGCGCTGACGAGTCTATGTGTCTTACTCTCAAATATATAACTGCAATGCCTCGAAGTCTATAACACACCGAACTTTCGAGCTACAAATAACTAAAACAAAGTTCAAAATTGAGCACGCTTGTAATATGATGCGTGAGGCTTTTCAGATAGTGAAATGAAGATGATGTTGTGTCATTCTGCAGCTCTATCATGTCCCATTTATAGGATTTTCAACCAAGTAAGGGAAACTAAAGGTCAACAACCACTAAGGGCAGGTAACAACCGAGTCATAGTTGTTGCAATTATAGCGTGGCTGAGCCCAATGTCCACGCCCTTTAACACCGGCTCAGACCGTCCAGAATCGCCCAAGTCCAGCCCACAGTCTAATTGCCAAGTACCAATGACCAATATCGAAGATCCAAGGCCCAGACTCATGCCCGTGGTCGAGTTGATCTGGCGTGCTAGCGCGCGCGTGTGGCCGAAGCCACCGCCAACACTTGATGCATAACTTTGTTGTTGTTGTGACCTCTCCAACTCTCTTTATTATAATAAAGAGTTATCCTCATTTACAATCCAATGTAGTATAGGACTCTTGACCTTCAAATCCTACAATTATCGTTTTAACTGCCCATTAATGTCTAACTTTTATCATTCATTTCTCTCACCAAAAACCTATATTGATCAAATAAATATACCACGAGTATATATTCCGAACGTAGAATTTTTCTACACAATTTAATTAATTAACCCAAAATTAAATATTTAACCATAAAAAAATCAGTCAAAAACGGATCAAAACTCAATTTTTCTAAATTGATTTTCTAACAAATTTTTATTCAAAAATTTTCATATTGCAATTCGTATATAAAACACACTTAAGATGAAAAGTAAGTTTTTTTAATCATATATATATATTTAGAAGTGGGTTCAAATGTGAATTAAACATAATGAAAGAAATAAGAATAAATATGTACCATTGGATTGATCAAGTCAACTGTCATGATCAAGTCAAATTTTAATATATGGATTTGACCATTCATTAAGTGTATTTTGGTCATTAAGGGGGTGATTGGATATGAGTTCAACTAGTAAAAAATTGGTTTTTTTTTTTTTTTTTAGGTATGATTAGTTGTTAGTGGATATATTAAAATAATATTTAAAATAAAATACTTAAAGTTGATTTGATATAAAGGTAGGAGAAAATGATTGGAAGTGATGGTTAGTTAAAACTATGTGAGTGGATGATTAGTGAAATAAAGTTGATGTGATGTGTAAAAATAATTGGTTGATATTATTTAATTATATTGATAATATTGGAGATAGTGAAATTGAGTTAACTTTGAGTTATAATGATTTTTTTACTGTACAATCTATATACAATCGCTCCTTAAGGGTATTTGACCACTCATTAAGAGTATACCACGAGTCAAGCACCCGTTGTCAGCTGCCCCACCGCCGGCACAGCCGGTCGTCGCCACCAACCCCCTCGAGCACGTTGTCACCGTTGCCACCAGTTCCCAACAGCCTTGCCATCAACGCCTCCAACATCCCCCAACTGCCTCGCCACCGCCACCACAGCCCCGTCGCGCTGCAACTCGGCGGAACGATGCCGCTTTGGAGCCGCATAATCAACCTTTGATCTGCCAAACTTCGTCGAGATTCCTGTGGGAGTCTTGAAGACATGCCGTGTAAAAGGCGGAGAATGAGCTCTGCAGATATGCCCCCACAAATCAGAGTCGTCACTGTACTCGCCCGATGCCGGGCGATTTGAGATGTTGATCTGGTCGATTGCCAAGTTGACCATCACTGTTTGGGGCTAAGGAAAATTGAATCGTGGGGTGAGGAAGAAGAGAGGATTTGCAGATTTGGGAAGATCATTTGGGAGGTGTTTTGGAAAATTTGATATATTTCAGGGATCTTATTGCAATTGATTAAATTTTAATATATTTCAATTTAGCTCGTGAGGCAAATCGATAATTTAATAAAACTTCCAAGGACTTATATGGAATTTCAGAAATTTGAATATATTACATTTTAGTTCATGAGTAAAATTTAAATTAACACAAAGAAATGCACAATATATTGTGTCTGTNAAATTTAGATTTCAGCTTTAATGAATTGCTTTTATTTACATATATACCAAATATAACACTTAATTGCACTTATACCTAACTTCATCAAATTATTTATATACATACAATATAATTAGTAACAGATCAAGTCATAATGACTTACCATAACAAATCCGCGTAACTGACGGGATGCATTCCTAGAGAGAGAAATATTTTTATGTCGGCATCTTTTATCCCAATTTTTGTTTATGTCGGATGTATGCATAACATATACATCACATATACATTTTTATATACATAGGAAAATATATAAACAATATATATACGAAAAATATACAGTATATATACCTGCTACTACACAAACAAAAAAAAAAATGTATAAATATACTACACATATAAAGCATATTTATACATAAGATATACAGAAGATGTAGTTTTAGTTCTGGGTCTGTAACTTTCAACTTCACTACGTCTAATCCCAGGTCCTATGGTCCCCAATCCGTAAATTCTTACATTTCAAATTTCTTCTTCGACCTTTGTTACAGTTTTAAAGATTGATTTTTTTTCAATTGTTGTTGTTGAGCTTGAGTAGAGTGTTCTTGTGTTGAGGATTAAATTTGAAAGTTTGGTTTGATAAAACCATGTGATCGAAGTTTTAGCACAGTAATTCCTATTTCCTCTGTTCGATTTATTTTTGTATACAAATTGATTGCTCAAAAAACAAAAGAGAAAAAAAATCAATTGAAGGAGAAGAGAAAAAAATTAAACGAAGAACCGTAGAAGATGAAGAAGACGAGAGAGGAAGAGAGAGTAATGGATATTAAATCCCATTAAGTTAGGTAACAAATCCCAATAAATCCATCTTAGTAATTTTACAAATAAAATAATAGTCTAGTATACATACAATAAAAGTTCTGCTGTATCGTTCAAGGAGTAATTTTCTCCTTTTTTTTTTCACACTGGGTCAGTGAGCGAATATGGGCTAATGTTCATTCTCACATGCATTAATATGCAATCAGTCAAACGATATTGTGCATTCTCGCAAGTTTATCAAAATGACACCGCGCTTAGTGTTGTTCATTGACTCAATCGGTCGACCGGAATAACCTCGTCGAACTTTCGAAAATAAATTGGACCTTTTTTCCCAAACGAAACTGGATTCGAACTGAGATAACTGATTTATTTGGTCAATAAACCGAGTTAACAAAAATAATCATAATAAATTACTATTCATATAAAAAAATGTATTTAGTATTTTAATATTTTATATCATTTTTTGCTAAAATACATAATATATATGGCTAAGGACATAACAGTCATCACTCGGTCACGTTCACAAACATAATTATCATCAATAATTCTTTCCTCCACTGCCAGAGGCTCCATGCAGCAACACTCAAAAGAGTAGGCCAACTCACATTACCAAA